AAAAAAAAAAAAAAAAAAAAAAAAAAAAATCACTATGACACATTTTCAGACACATTTCAGACATTTACTGCCTGAACTCTGCCAGTAAACTTGTAATTTTCCAAGGAAATTCACTTTGCTGTGATAGCTTTCTCATCCTGAGCCAAATGCGTCTGATGGACACTCACCAATCTGAATCCTACTCTCTGTAGGCACTGAAATACATTAAATACCTTTCACACGACAGACCTTTCCCAAATGATGATTCTGAAGTCCGTACACTCTCCTGCCCCTTTCCAACGGGCAAAGGAAGTAGTATCCAGCACAGGGGAAGTGTGTCCAGCACAGGAGCGTTCTAACCAGAGCAGCAGAGCCACAGGACCACCCACTTCCCCATTCTGGGCACTAGACCTGTGTTAGAAAGCCATGTACTACATCAGTTGATTTGACGACACTGGTTCTTCCTACTTGTGCAGCTGCTCAGTCACCCCACAACTTTGTTGGTGTATACATTTTACTCAGTTTTATTTTTTAAGAAATATTTATTAGAGGCACCTGGGTGGCTCAGTCGGTTAAGTGTTCGACTTCGGCTCAGGTCATGATCTCACAGTTTGTGAGTTTGAGCCCCGTGTCAGGCTCTGTGCTGACAGTTCAGAGCCTGGAGCCTGCTTGGGATTCTGTGTCTCCCTCTCTCTCTGCCCCTCACCTGGTTGCTCACTGGCTCTTTCCCTCTCTCTCTCAAAAATAAATAAAACATTAAAAAATTTTTTAAAAAGAAATATTTATTAGAGCCTGCTATGTACTATCCACTAGAGACACGAAGATGAACCAGACCTGGTCCCTGCCCTCACTGAGCTCTGGGTTATGGAGACAACCCAACTCAAAGCCAAACCATCGGGGTGCCTGAGTGGCTCAGTCAGTTGAGCGTCTGACTTGCTTTTGGCTCAGGTCATGATCCCAAGGTCATGGGGTTGAGCCCCACATGAGGCTCCATGCTGAGAGTGGAGACAGCCTGAGAGTCTCTCTCTCTCCCTCTGCCCCTCTCTCTCCTGCTCTCTCCAAATAATACTACTATTACTACTACTACTAATAATAATAATAAAATCTGGGCACCTGGGTGGCTCAGTCAGTTAAGCATCCAACTCTTGACTTCAGTTCAGGTCAGGATCTCACTGTTTGTGAGATCGAGCCCCTCATAGGGCTCTGTGCTGACAGTATGGAGCCTGCTTGGGATTCTCTCCCGCCCCCTTCTCTCTGTACCCCTCCCCCACTTGCACATGCTCTCATTCTCTCAAATAAAATAAACATTTAAATAATAATAATAATAATAATTGGGCGCCTGGGTGGCTCAGTCAGCTGAGTGTCCGACTTCGGCGCAGGTCATGATCGCACAGCTCATGAGTTTGAGCCCTGCACTGGGCTCTGTGCTGACAGTTCAGAGCCTGGAGCCTGCTTGGGATTCTGTGTCTCCCTCTTTCTCTGCCCCACCCCACTCGCGCCATGTCTCTGTCTCTCAAAAATAAATAAACATTAAAAAAATTAAATAATAAATAAATAAATAAATAAATAAATAAATAAATATTTGGATGTTAAAAAAAAACCAGACCACCACAGTTCAGCAGGAAATACCTCAATAGAGGTAAACAAAGACTTTTGGGGACCATCTCAGTAACCCCCTGTGAAAATCTTCCACTCTTGGTTTCTGGGCTCAGTTTTCTTCATTTCAAACTCAAAGTGAAAGAAAAATAGTAATAATGCAAATGTCCCAGATGGTCCCATATGGTCATGGTTGGGCCAGGCATTTCCTTCTGGTTAATCCAAGGCATCTGCGGGCTCTTTCTAAATGTCCACTCTCTCCTGTTACAGTTGACCACAGCCGCACACAGACAGAAATTCAAGGAGGTCGAGAAATTTGAGTGTTAGTCCTGTGGCTTTGCAGCTAACTGACTACATGATGTTGTACAAATCATATAACTTCCCTGGGCCTTTATTTCCTCTCTGAACTGGAGCAGTTGGGTTAGCTCCCCGTGGGTCTCTAGATCTAGTGAGAGCCCCACAGAGACAGTTTTACACTTTCTTCTCAGTAGTCACCACCTAGCAAACACTGGACACACATTAGGTGCTCAAATGTCTACTGAATATATGTATGAATAGACGATTATTACAGCAGCATGAATCATGGAATCGATCAACAAATGATTCTGAATGTCTACTAAGTACACTGTGGAGTAGGTAAACCAAATAGTGACAGAATGGTATTTTCTCCCCACTTTCCCCTCACCTTCTTCCTGAAAGGGGAGCTTTGTAAGTTAGAGACACTGTGTTAACACAAATAATGTTCTCGAGATGGGCTCTAACTGGTTGCTAAAATGAACAAGAAACAATCTGTTTGTCTTGGGTGTGTTTTATATCAATGGACCTGACGGACCCAAAGCCCCCTCCATGGTATACAGGACCCGACACCACACCCCAAGTCCTTGGAGGAGAAAATCAGACAGAGGGAATGACAGGGAGCCAGGACAGAGGGGACCTAGAGGAAGAGCTGAGGAGGAGCTTCACTCATTCCCCAGCAGCCTGAGAGTGGACTGGTGGACAAATCGACAGGCAAAGGAAAGTACCCCCACAAGGTCCCTTGTAGTGCGTGACCATTCATAAGTGAAATTTTCTTTCTGGTAATGGACTGCACTTTCACATGCTTCCTACCATGCCAGTCCTAGTTAAAGTGTTACAAGAATATCACTGAATTCAACAAACATTGATTCAACAAACATAGGCCCAAAGTGTCAGGCCCTACATAAGTTCTAGAACAAAAAAATGAACATAATAACCCCTGCCCTCAATGATCCCTGTCCAATTAGCTCCATGCTCCTTCTGTGCACTGCCCTCCTCTTGGCCCTCCACCAATCCAAATCCCACCCCACCTGCGAGAACCCCGTCCCCCAAGCCCCACCTACCCAGAGTCCCCGAGTGACACTGAGCCCACAGTGAACTCCTGTCACTTCTGAAATTTGGTTCCACTCCCACCTCTAGGTTTTATGAATATATGTCATTTCGCTAGTTAGATTTGAGCGTCCTGAGGACAAAGACCATTGTTAGAATTTTCCAGAGAAAGGCGCCTGGGTGGCTCAGTCAGTTAAGTGTCCGGCTCTCAATTTCAGCTCAGGTCATGAGCTCATCCTTCTCCAGCTCCCCACTGGACATGGAGTCTGCTTAAGTTTCTCTCTCTCCCTCCCCCTCTGCCTCTTCCCCAGTCATGGGTGCACTCGCTGTCTCTCAAAAAAAAACCTTTTTTCCAGGGAAACCACAACAGTGCTTCATATCTGACCAAGCTCAGACCAAGCCCAAGCCTTCAACTGGAGGACAATCCCTGTTGTGCCTGGCTCCATGCAGGTGCTTTATAAACTTTGTAGTAGCAAAGTCTACAATCAGCTCTCCAACATGTCGATAAGCAGTGATAATATGAAAATTGAGAGGGTAAGAATGATCATACAGAAATCAAAAAGGGTTTGACTCATGCCTTGCCTCTTCTCTCCTCTTAGGTAAAACAAAATCATGCCAAGTTTTCTCACTCCTGCCTGGAGGCTGCCAGAGAGGACTTCCTTGTTAATCTTCCCCACAGCCCTCACAAATATCACCCAGCATTCAAGCCCAGCCTCTCCTCTTTCTTTGAGCACATTTCCTAATGTCTCTGAAAGGAGTCAAGTTTAGTAAGTGCTGATGTTCCGTAACTAATGGTTACTCTAAGTAGTATTACTTTCTTCCCTCCTTGGGCTGTTTCCAAACAAGGTCTGGAGTCAAGAACCCCAAGGGCCTGGGCAAACACCCTTTAAGGGCTCCTTCCCTCCTGTGGTTCCTGTTTCTCAAACCCTCTTGGACCTGAAGCCCTGGGGATCTTCCACCAACACAGTTCCCTATACTTCAGGCTGCAACAACTAAGCCACAGCCACCTTCCTGATAAACTTCAAGGAGGCCCAGTTTGACCACTGCTTCAGGGCCAATGTTTTGAGCAGGGGAGAAATAACCTCGCCTCTAGTCACCTCTACTTCCCACCTTACTTCTGTGGCCACAGACATGGGAGGGAATTGCAAACACAGTAAAGACAGACAACTTCTCGAGCAACACTACTGTTGTGTGTACTGTGCCAAGGCTGGAGGCCCGGGGGACAGAGGGGAAACAGACCATGTCATCCTCTTTTCTGGCAACCCTTAGTATTCGCTTTCCTGGCAGATAGTAAGCTAGAAAGCACTGCCGAAAGATATAAGGAAATTCAAAGAACAAAAAGACCCGGGGAAGAAATCATAACATACTAGGGAGTAGGGAGGCGGGAAGGGAACCAGTATTGCAGCCAAGTTATCAGTCACCTTCTTGTGTTCTTAAGAATGCTTCATTTCTTTTGTTTGCCCAGTTTTTCCTCCCAGATTCCTGTAAACCTGTTACCTAACAAGGTCAGCGTCACTTAGGTGTTCTCACCCTCTAATGGGAACACTGGCCAGGGATTAAAGCCCAGACCGCCATCCTAAGAAGTCCGGGAGCCTCCAACTGGGAACCTTCCACACTTTCTTCAGGCGACCTTACAGCAGCACCAACAATCGCAATGAGAATTCTAATCTCTTCCCTCCTTCTGTTGCTGCCACTAATGCTGATGCCTATGGTCTCTAGCAGCCGAAATCCAGGTAATAAGATTAATTTTCTATAAAGGGGAAACGGGGGG